AGTGGGTGAGCAGCTCAACCCCAGAGGGGAAAATTGGGGCTGTGGGTTGAAACCAGTGAGCTTACTGGGACTTGCTTCATCGGAGGCCTTTAGATCCAGCGTGAGCTTCTCTGCCCACTTTAGCTCCTCAGCAGAAACTCCCTCTTTGGCAGCTTGACATGTGGTCTTGTGATTGATGACCTTGGGAAAGTTGTTTCATGGTTGTGAGCGTTCCCTTCTTCAGCAGCAATCCCTACCCCCACACGTGGGAGTAGGGGAGGAATCACTGAGACTGCATGAGGAGGTACAGAACACAGCACTCAGCGGAAAGTTAATGCCATCTTTCCTCTCCCCTTGTACTCCACACCCCCTCTTCTTCTCACCGGCCTTGGGGTGCCCACAGCACTTCACTTGTGCTTTTATGATAGCAGCAGCTCTGGCCTAGCGCTTAGCAAGTGCTCAGTATTCAATGTTTGCTGAGTGAAGAGAGGAAGGCAGGCAGCCCGAGGACAGGTAATAAGTAGGCAGTAAATAATGAAGTAAGTTGGAGCATTCTCCTACCTTTGGAAATGAGCTACTGGCATCTTTCAGAGATGAGGGCTGAACAAACTCATGATTTTGTGTATAAAATATGGCTCTAGGTGTTGGTCAGAGTGGAGAGCTCAGCAGGTCCTTCTAGAAAGTGCTTTCCCCTTATTGACCATCTGTTTGGGCTCCAATGAACTGTTACAGTTATTTGCCTCCTGAGATGACGGTGTAGACCTGGAAAAAAGAGAGTGTGTATACAGTGGCACCTATTCCTGCCAGAGGATCAAGTTTAAGGGAGGTTTAAAGGAGTCTAAGTTGAAAAAGAAAGAAAGGAAGAAAGACCAGAGAAAACAAGTTTCCTTAGCAGTGAGGGACCCAGTTGGCAGGCAAGGGCTGTCACTGCCACAATTATATTCTAATTATATACCTGCTCTTGCGGCACATTGTGCTAGTTGCTAAGGCTGTAAAGTAGCAGGCATGGTTCTTGCCTTCCAGAGGCTTCTAATCTATGGAATGGAAATGGATGGAAGACTGAGCACTGTGGAGCACTTACTACCTGTTAACACTGGAACACATGTTTTAGGGTATATCTCAAGAAGTCAATATTATTATTCTGCAAGGAAACTAAAATACAGAGAGGCTAAGAAACCTCTCGTAGGTCACCCAGCAAACACGCGGAACTGGGAGAAGAGCCCAGGTCTGTCTGGCTCTAGCGGCCTATGCTGCTCCCAGGACTGTGAGCAAGGACATCAGGGTAAGCCTGTAAAAAAGAGAATTCACTCTACAAGGTGTCCTAGGTTCAGCGCCACATGAGCAATAGATAATGATGTTTGCAGGGGTCTAGAAGAGATGTATTGAGGCCTCAAATAGAGGTGGCAACTTGGCAGAGGAATAGGCCCTCCAGTAGATGCTGAAGACAGAATATGAACCCAATAAGAGAAGAAGGGAGGGGGCGGCTTTCAAGGCGGAAGGCGGCAGAGCATGTGCAAAGGTGGAAGGTAGGAAAAAGTTCACCTTCTGGATTTGTGGAGTACTGGAGAGAGCACAGCCTGCTCCAAACTTAGTAATAGCCTTAGGCCAGCCACCTGATCTCCCTGAGCCTCAGTTTCCCTCTCTGTATAATGGTTGTGAGAATAGCCACTTCATAGGATTGTTGAAGACCTGAGATTATGTATGTAAATCACCTCTTTCCTCAAAATCATCAGTCTAAGTTAGACCTTAATCTAAATCAGTTCCTTCTGTCATAGTATCTTATTTCCCTTTCTACTTGCAATTGAGTCAATTATATATCTGCATGCTATTTATTGAATGTTTGTTTCATGACTGTAAGTTCTGTGAGGATAGCGACAACATCTGTCCTCCTCAATACCATTTCTTTAGTGCCTAGAACAGTAGGCACTCAATAAACCTTCGTTAAATGAATGGATACATGAATGTATGAATGAATACATGAATTCCTAAGTAAATGAATAACTACATCTATTTCTGTGCTGTGACTCTAAGAATCTCAGGGAAAATTTGTCTTTCCTCTGGTGAGGGGGCGGGTTGCTAATGGAAGGAAAAGCCTTCAGAGAATGCCATTAGAGAGTCACAAGACCTCCACGAGTCATCAGAAGGAGCCCCAGGTCTCCTGTGTGCGACCTGGTGCTCTACATAACTGTCTCTGAGCAGGAAGGAAATTACACAAACTTCCGGTTCAGCTGGTTCCAGGGTTTCACAACCCATTTCTTTCTGTCTTGCTTAAATCCGTGGTGCTGCTTTTTCCATTATGACTTGTGATGTGCCTAGTGCACAATGACTCTCTGCATGATCCCCATGTTGCCGGGCAATAATTCGGAGGGGTGTCTAGACTTTCCAATAATCAAGCCTTCTGATCCAGCGCAACGCAATAACCCCTAATGCAGAGTTGGAGAGGAAGAAAGGGGATATAAGCAGATGCACTAATAATTACTAGGCATTTGATACATTCTATGAATTCCATGATAGAAGAATAAGGACAGGGACGTGAAGGATACAGAGAAGGATATCTGGCTTGGTCTGAGGTGAAGCAGTATACACACAGTTGGATAATATTTACAGCTTTTGAAATATGATTATGCATATCATCTCATCTTAGTCTCACTGCAGCCATGGAAAAGGGGGACATATGGATAACATTTGTATTGTTACTTGTTCCTCACACAGGGAAACTGAGGCAACTAGGGATAGATCTGGTTTCACTGGCAGATATAAACTCACTGCCCAGTCTCATAACTCTCAGTTTAGGGATCTTCTTTTGGGCCACACTGTCATGCGCCACCCTTTACATTGGTCAACAGTGTGGGGGTATCTGCAATGTCACAATCCCCCACCTTCTGGAATGTAGTTCCAATGCACTTTTGTGATGGAACATCAATATCAAAAAAATTGGGGGCCACATTACCCCTTTGTCTGCTTTAGTAAATAAAATTTTTTTAAAATGTAGTCACACCCACACATTTACTATCATCTATGGCTGTTTTTGCACTATGGAGGTAGAGTTGAGTGGTTGAAACAGAAAAGATATGACTCACAACATCTAAAATATTTAATATTTGATCCCATACAGAAAAAGTCTGCCACTCCCTAGAATAAATGAATGGAATGGAAGTAGATAGAAAAAAATGGACTCATTCATTCCTAATAAGCAGTGGGTTATAACTGAAACTGAGAATGAGAATTGGTCTCAGAATCGAACCTCTGTCACTTGCCTGGATGACCTTGAACAAATTACTGATACTCTCTGGGCATCTATCACCTTACAGAGTTGCTGTAGGATTTGTACCAGGTAAGGTGTATGTGTCAGTTATGATTAGGTTTGGCCCCATGTGACACAGAATGAAGGGTCTTGCATAAGACAGCAGCTTATTTCTTTCATGTGGAAGTGAGCAGTGGGTGTTGGTCTGGTGGGGTATGGTGTCAGCAACCCCAGCCTTCTCACCCTGTTGCTTTGCTGTGCATGGCTTTTATTCCTGAGGTTCTCTCATGGTCCAAAATAGCTATTGGAGCTCTAGCCACAGTGCCATGATTGCTATTACTACTAATGAGTGTATGATGATAAGAGGAAACAAACTAAAAATCAAACACAAGAGCCCAGAAACAGAGCCATACAAAAAGTCTGGACAACAAATCCACATTAATTCAAGTCTAGCCAAAATGAGACCTCCTGCCATAGCTCAGGAGGCAACAAGTGTGTTTTGTGTATTCTATTCCCAGGGTACACTGAGGAAGATCTAGAAGCCATGTGGTCCATGTATTCAGCATCTAACATTTTACAAAGTATTTCCATAACTATTATTTTATTTGCTTTTCACAGTACTCTAGAAAGGTTAAGATGAACAGGTCTTAATATTATTATTCCTATTGTATCCTGTAATTCAACCAGGTGTTAAGTAATCAGATCCCAGTACCTCCTATCTTCCCAAAGAGTCCGTGGTTAGATCTTTGGATATTTGTTGGAAATGAAAGGGGAGCAGCTCTCGTGTAGAAGAAAGAAAATGACCCCCAAACAGGACCCCTAGCAGATGTAGCTAATCACATGGCCTCACCCTCACTGAGTCAGTATCCTCACCTAAATGAGGAAGATAAGAGCATCTATTGATTTGGGGGGTTGTTGACTGTAATGAACATGGCAAATAGGCCAGTTCAGTGAGATCACTGCTATTACCTAGGCTTACCTCTTAAATTTGCTGTGTCCTTGGAAACTCACTTCCCTTTACTGGGCCTCAGTTTACTTTCCCAGGAAAGCAAAGGGTTTGGATTCAGCGACTTGCTAAACTATCTTCCAAATCTCCAGTCCCATCAGCCTGGGAACCTGCCTTTTCAAGGGAAAACACCTCAGATTGGAGCCCAGGTCGGAACTCTCCCTCTGGCTCCCTAGTAGCTCGCTGTGTGTTTCAGAACAAGCTAAAAACGCTTCTGACTTCGCATCTGTAAATAGGGACAGATTACTATGTAGTTTACAGGAAAGGCAAGCATCACGAGGATTAAATGAGGTGGGTGTGTCCACGGCTCACAGATTGTAACTTGGGCAAAGCAGGACCTATCTGCTCTGTAGATTTGAAGACTGTGACATCACTTCAGAGGGCTGGCCACAGGATTAGACGGATAAATTCATGTAAAGTATCAGAAACAAGACCTGGCACAAAGTAAGCATTCGGTAATTATTGTTATTATTATTATTATTATTATTAATTTCATCCGCCTACAACAGTCCTGGCATTCAGTAAATGGTCGAGAAGTGGTTTTAGGGGACACACTCTACACACACACGCAACAGAGGCTGCGGAGAGTTTGCGTGGGTCAGCTCTGTGCCTTTAAAAGTCCAAGAGGTGGGAGGAGCCGCGGGGAGGCTGCTGTCCACGCCCCCAGGCTGCCGAGCCCGGTCGCAGGTGACGGGGGCGGGAGCGCGGGCCAATCGCCGGAGCGGTTCAAAGGGCCAATCAGGGCGCGTTTTACAGGGGCTTCGCCCGGCGGGGGCGGGGCCGGGGGCGGGGCGCTGCCGCAGCAGCCCCCGGGGACCGCCCTACGCTGTGCGGTGCACCTCGGTGCGGCAACCTGCAGAGCCCCGCTAGCTAAAATGTAATTTCAGATTGGACAAGTAAGTGACCCTCCTCCCAGTCCCACGTGTGCAGCAGGGGCTTTTGCAGGCGCGCAGGCTCTTAGCGCCCATGTTCTCCAACCCGAGAGCGCACCCGGCCCAAGCCTCCCTCCCCTTTCCTGCAGTCGCCGCCTCTTCCTCCTCGTCGTCCTACTCTGGTCGCTAAAGTCTCGTGCCAGGCCAGCCTCGGCCCCCGGGACGATGTAGAGTTCCCTGTGTCCTCTCCTGGGTGAGGCGTCCGGCCACTCAACGGAAGGGTCGGCCTTTACTGCATCCCCAAGGCTTCCTATGAGATGTCGGGAACCTGGGGTCCTCTGCCATCCCTGACCAGTTAACTGTGTTCACTCCAGCTTCCCGTCCCCCCATCCTTTCCCCTGGACCCTTACTTTAGGGTATTTTTCCCAGGCCGTTTTGAGCTTTTAATAAAAATCTGGCTACCTAAGAGATTTTTAAAGGCCAGTGCTGCTTGTAACTTTAAACGCTTTCAGCAGCTTGTGATAATGTTTGAGGTGCGTTTAGTTTAGATGGTATAATGCTGTTTGGTTACAGTTATCCTGGGTAGGAAAGGCCTAGGGTTATCTTTCCATTTTAATTCACTTCCCTTCTTTTAAGGATGGACAAGATGCAAAATGGTGAATTCCCTAATCATTGGCTATTTTCCACTAAAGCACTTCTCCTGTCTTAACTAATTTCATCCCTAAATTAAAGGGTCAGTCATTACCAAGATACGGAAGAGCATTAGGTTAATTTTTAAAATAGGAGATCTGGAGGGAGGAAGTGATTACACTTTTGAATTGCAAATCAGAAAGAAGGCATGTCTTCTCTAAGTTTGTGGCTGTTACACAGATGGTACAGTTTTGCTTTGTTTTGCTTGCTTTTCTCCTTTTTTTAACGATCCACCAAATGTATATCCTGATTTTTTTTTTCTTTTTACTTTTTATGTTGCCAGCTGGGTCTTGCAGCCTTCTGACCGCCCCCTGGTCTTCTGGGAGTCTCCTGTTAATGAGGCCCTCTGCCTGGCTCTTGATCTGATGATCACTGGCCTGGCTCTTGGAGGGATCAGCTGAGGAGGACCTGCATGTGGGCGGCCCAGAGGACTGTTGATTAAGGATGATGGGGGAACAGACCAGAGAGGGTGAGAAGGGCCTGGAGATTGATTTTGAGGGGAAGGGAGCTTGGGAGCCTCCCTTGCTGGATTTGAAAATCAAAACATGTGTATTGGGAGAAGGGAACAACCCTGAGGGTGGAGGTCTGTGTCTTTCTGGATGAAATTAAGAAGTTTACTAGGGGGAGACTGGGCCTTCTTCCAGGCTGTGTTAATTTTTGCTGTGGGCCTTGTCTTTTCCTGGAATCTAGTTCCCTTTCCCTAACCTTTCACTTAGTTCAAATCACAGTCAATTACCAGCTGTATTTGAAAACAGTTTGAAGTAATGAATCTTGCCCAGCCGGAGTGGGGACCCCTGGCCTCCTGCCAGGGGATTTGAAATAATTATTTTACCAGAATGTACTACAGAGATCATTTAGCCTCACCTGCCCATCTCTTTATGAGAAGAAATACAGGATCAACCCAGGTGGTGGTGTAAGGGGTCATCCAAACCAGGTCTTTCGTTCATTCATTTGTTCACTAACTTGTGGCACGTATTCTGGACTTGGTACTGTGGTAGGCTCTGGGAAAGTAAAGATGAACAAGACTTGGTCTCCACTTTTAGTCTTTCACTCAAGTCTGCTTCTGTCTAGTCTGACAAGAGAGCTTATACGATACCAAGATGAGTGCTGTGGCAAGGTATGTGGGAAATTCTCAGGAATTGGCAGAAGGGCAAATGGCCCAATGTGGGGTTTTGTGGAAAACTTCTCAGAGGAGATAATACCCTGAGCAGAATTTCACAGCCTCAGTATGAGTGGGCTGGGGAATGACAAAAGGGAAGGGGATTATTTGACTTGTGAACAGCATGTGCAAAACTATATAACCTGGCACATTGTTGACTAGTGTGGCTGGACAGGATAGGGTGAGATGGGAAATCACCAGAAAGGAAGCTGGGGAAGGTGAAAAGGCCAGACCAGGGAGCATCAGGTGAGTCATAGGTAAGGGAGTTTGAAATCTCCAGAGCAGTCAGGAGCTGTCTGAAGTGACATGGATTTGTGTTTTAGAAAGTTAATTCTGGCCGCAGGGTGGAGAGGGAATTGGCGAGGTGAAGACTGGAGAGAGGCTTTTATGATACGGGTGAGAGATGGGTTAGGGTAATAGTTCTGGAACTGGAGGGAGATGAGAATACAGTTGATCCTAGAATACGGGTTTGAATGCAGGTCCACTTATATATGGATTTTTTTTACAGAATTGGTTTATTCCTTAAATGTTTGATGGAATTCACCTATGAAGTCATCTAGGCCAGGAGTTTATTTTTATTTTTTTGTGACGAGGGAGTACTCAATTGATTTAATAATATAAGACTATTCAGATCATCTGTTTCTTCTTGAGTGAGGTTTGATAGTTCCTGTATGTTGAGGAATTTGTACATACCTAAACTGCTCATAATCCCTCATTATCATTTTAATATCTATAGAATCTGTTGTGATTTCATCTCCCTCATTCCTAATATGGATAACCCTGATATTGTTATCTTTTCTCTTTATTTTCCCAATCATTCTGCCCAGAAATTTATTAATTTTATTGGACTTCTCAAAAAAACTTTTGGTTTTATTTATTTTCTATATTTTTTAACATACTGATTTCTCTGAAATTTATTATTTCCTTTCTTTTGCTAACTTTGGGTTCCTTTTACTCTTTTTTTTAAGATTTTATTTATATATTTGACAGAGAGAGACACAGCAAGAGAGGGAACACAAGCAGGGGAAGTGGGAGAGGGAGAAGCAGGCTTCCCGCTGAGCCAGGAGCCCGATGTGGGGCTCGATCCCAGGACCCTGGGATCATGACCTGAGCCGAAGGCAGATCCTCAACAACTGAGCCACGCAGGCGCCCCTCCTTTTACTCTTCTCTTTCTAATTTCTTAAGGTGGACAATTAAGATTATTTATTTGAGATGACTTTTCTAATAGGCATTTGATGCTATAAATTTATTGCTTCAAGTGCATCCTACAACTTCTGCTATATGTTTATTTTCATTCAGTTAAAATACTTTCTATTTTTTTTTAATGTCTTCTTTGATCCATGTGTTAGGTAGAAGTGTGTTATTCAGTTTCAAATATTTGAGGACTTTGCACTCATCTTTTTATTATTGATTTATAATTTAATTCTGTTGTGGTCACAGAAGGTACTTTGGTATGATTTGAATCCTTTTATCTTCTTGAGACTTGTTTTATGGCCCAGAATGTGGTCTGTCTTGGTAAATGTTTGATGTGTACTTGAAAAGAATGTGTGTTCTGCTCTTGTTGGGTAGAGTGCTTTTTACATATCAATTATGTCAACTTTATTGACTAACGTACATTACATCCTTGCTGATTTTGTGTTGACTTACTGTATCAGTTATTGAGAGAATGGTATTAGAATCTCTAAGGATAATTGTGGATATATGCATTTCTCTTTGCAGTTCTAACAGATTTTGCTTTATGTATTCTGATGCACTGTTATTAGGTGTGTTAATATTTAGGATTGTTAGGTTATCTTGGTGAATCATCCCCTTTATTATTTCTTAATTTCTGATAATATTCTTCGCTCTGAAATCTACTTAGTCATTATACCTGGTACTATTCTTGCTCTGAAATCTACTTAGTATGATAATGATTTAGTTTCTTTTGAATGCTGTTTAATGGCATACCTTTTTTGTCTTTTTACTTTTTTTTTTTTTTTAAAGATTTTATTTATTTATTTGACAGAGAGAGACACAGCAAGAGAGGGAACACAAGCAGGGGGAGTGGGAGAGGGAGAAGCAGGCTCCCCGCAGAGCAGGGAGCCCGATGCGGGACTCGATCCCAGGACCCTGGGATCATGACCTGAGCTGAAGGCAGTCGCTTAACCAACTGAGCCACCCAGGCGCCCTTGTCTTTTTACTTTTAACCTATGTGTTTCTTATGTTTAAAGTGGGTTTCATGTGGGCATCATATACTTAGACTGGGTATCTAACTAAGGCATGATAATCTCTGTTTTAATTGGGGGTATTTAGACTATATTTAATATATTTAATATAATTATTCATATGGTTTGTTTTAAGTACACCATCTAGCTTTTTTTTTTTGTGCTTGCTTCGGCAGCACATATACCATCTAGCTTTTTTTTTTTTTTAAAGATTTTATTTATTTATTTGAGACAGAGAGAATGAGAGAGAGAGAGCACATGAGAGGGGGGAGGGTCAGAGGGAGAAGCAGGCTCCCTGCCGAGCAGGGAGCCCGATGCGGGACTCCATCCCGGGACTCCAGGATCATGACCCGAGCCGAAGGCAGTCGCCTAACCGACTGAGCTACCCAGGCGCCCCTTTTTTTTCTTTTCTATTTGTTCCATCTGTTCTTTGTTCTTTTTATTCTCTTTTTCTGCCTTTCTTTGGATTAGTTTTTTCATAATTTCATTTTTTCCTCCTTTATTGGCTTATTAGGCATAACTGTTTCTTTTGGTATTATTTTAATGGTTGCTTTAGGGTTTATGGTATACATCTTTAATTTATTAGAGTCAACTTTCAAGTGGGATTATACCACTTAACATATAATATAGGAACCCTATAACAGTATGTTTATAATTCTTGCCTCCTAGCCTTTGTGCTACTGTTGTTTTATGTTGTACGTTTTACTTATACATAAGTTTAAGTAAAGTTTAAGTGGTTATTATTTTAGTTTTAAGAAGTCAGTTATCTTTTTAAGACATTCAAGTAATTTTTAATTTATGTACCCACATAGTTACCCTTGTGCTCCTCATTCCATTTTATAGATCCAGATTTCCATGTGCTGTCATTTTCCCCTCCACTTCTTGTGGTGCAGTTCTGCTGGCAATGCATTTTTTTCATCTTTTCTTTGTCTGAATTAGTTTTTATTAAAGCTTCAGTTTTGAAAGTTTTTTTTCACAAGGTACAGAATTTTAGGTACGAAGTTTTTTCTTTCAGTATTTCAAAAATCTTACTCTACTGTCTCATAGTTTACATTATTATTTCTGATGGGAAGTCTGTTGTCCTTCCCATATTTTTCTTTCTTTTGTGCATATTGTCACCTCCTCTCCCCCTAAGTTACTTTTAAGATTTTCTTTATCATTGGTTTTGAGCAGTTTGAATCTGATGTTTCTTGGGTTAGTTTTCTTCATATTTCTTGTGCTTGGGGTTCATTGATATTCTTGAATCTGTGGGTTTATAGTTTTCATCAAATTTGGAAGATTTGTGCCCATTATATTTTCAAATATTGCTCCTGACCCCTTCTTTGTTCTTTCTTTCAGGGATTCTCATTTCACATATATTATGCTACTTGAAGTTTTTCCACAGCTCACTCATGCTGTTTATTTTTTAAAAATCTTTTTTCTCTCTTTGTTAGTGGATAGTGTCTGTTACTGTTTTTTAAAGGTCACTAAGCCTTTCTTCTGTATTGTCCAATCCTATACAGTTTTTTCATTGCAGACAATCTTAGTTGTCATTTTTAGCATTTCAGCCTGAGTCTTTTTTATCTTCCATGTCTGGACTTTCAAGTTCAGTCTCTTCTCTAGCTTTCTGAACATATGAAATACAGGTATCATAGCTGTTTTAATATCTGTGTCTACTAATTCTATCAAATGTGTCAATTCTAGGTCAGTGCCCATTGATTTTTCTCATTTTGGATAGTCTTTTCCTGCATCTTTGTGTGCCTGGTAAATTTTGATTGAATAGCAGACATTGTGTATTTTATCTTGTTGGTGCTAGATATTTTTGTAATTTTATAAATACACTTGAACTTTGTTCTGGGGCATGTGTGAGGTATTAGGAAACCATTGGATTCTCTTGAGTCTTGCTTTCAGCTTTGTTAGGTGGGACCAGGGCTCATTCTTCTTCACTGCTGAGGTAAAACCCTTCTGTGTACTGTACCCAGTGCCCTATCAATGACAAGGTTTTCCACTCAGGCTGGTGTGAACAGGCACTATTCATGGCGCTGTGTGAAGTCCCCTGATTGTTCACTGTGGGAGCTTCTGGCTCAGATGGTTTCCTCACATGCATACAGTGGTTGGTACTTTACT